TCTTAAGCAAGGGAATGCACTCTTTTCTTCTCAAAAGCATATTCTGTTGAATATTATCATATGAATATTAAATCACAAGAAGCAGCCAGATAAGACTACCAAATTGTCATGGAGATCTCTCCATGATGAGAACTAAAAATAAATACAAATACACTCAAACATTTTATATCTCGCCCATATGCTTTTCATTTGGCTTTCCTTTTTATGGCAATGCGAGTTCTGTTCCAAGCACTTGGGAGACACTGAGCATGTGACACAAGGGAAGGAAGTAATGTATAACAGTTCCATTCTGAATCATGCTGAGAATTATTTGTAGGTCTTATGAAGCAAACCCTTCCCAAAGGCGGCCTTTGCCTTCTGGGCCTGGAATCACAAGCAGACTTGCACGCGAACCTGGCATTTGTGTGGGTTCTGGGAACATAAACTCTGGTCCTTACACTTGTGCTGAAGTGTTTTAACCACTGAGCCATCTAACTGGACCAACTTTTTCACATACTCTGAAATAACATGTTGACTTTTAGTAGTAGTGAATACCAAATATTACTGACAAGTAAACTATAAAATGCCCATTTTAACTTGAAACTTCAGGGCCCAATAACCACTTATTATCCACTTTATGAAACTTAGATCAAAGGGTAACTCAAGTTGGTGGCTGACATGTCTTCTGACAGTGAGCAATGTGAGACACAGAAGGCTGTCCTTGCCAGTGGAGGATGGGAAAAGGAGCAAACTTGGATAGAGAAACCTTTCCCCCAAGCCTGCAGGATGGAAACGTCTTTCCTAAAGTGGCTCAGGGATGGGGATGAAGATGAGAAAGGCAAGCCCGTATCTTTCTGCTCCAGTGCCCTGGCCTCCCAGGACTCTGCCAGGGAGTGTATGGACCTGTAGGTTAAAGCAGACTTTACTCTTCTGTTTCTGTCTCTTCTACCTGGTGCAGGTATGTGTCCAGGAAGGTCAGGGACAGTTCTTCAGTCCCCTTCCCTGCATAGCTTCCAAGAGCAGGCCATAGACATGGTGGCTGAGAAAACAATGGTGAACATAGAAATGATAATTTCCTGTTCATGTGTTTATTTTGTTTAAATGAATGAGCATATAAATAGATGTTCGTGGCTATACAGAGACCAAGCCACCCTTAGTGATACCCAAAAGAGGAGTGATAAGAAGCTTATGAAAATTCCTATGGCAATGGTTAACCTTTATTGTCACCTTGATTAGATTTAGAATTACCTAGGAGACTGGGTCACATCTCTGGATGTGTCGGTGGAAGCATCTCCAGAGTAGATTAACTGAGAGTAAAAGATCCTGAATGTGGGTAGCAACAACACACAGCCACAGGCGGGGCAGATGGAATAGAAAGAGAGAAAGGAGAGAATCACCAATCTCTGGTCATGTGACACAAACTGACTCGCTCTGACACACCTTTCCCAACATGTTAGACTGAGCCACAAGCCCTGATCCTTCCCTCCTCTGAGTTGCTTCTGTCAGGAATTTGCATAGTAACATGAAAACTAACACATTGGCTGCAGGGTTGCTGATAAAGGTATGATAGTGTCTAGGCTTGGCAAGAAAAGCCAGCATCATGACAAACAAGCTATAGATGCGGCAGCTAGGCTGCAGAAGGACTTCTGAAATGACAGGTGCTTTGCGCATTTCTTATCATCAATCCATTCTTATTTTCAAAGCTCCAGACGGTCCGTAAAGGTTTGGTAGGAAAGAACATGGAGCTGAGGTTCCTCAAGGAGGGCTGGTGTCCCGTAAATGAGCAACTCTTTCCAGCTCAGAAATGGTTGAATGAAATGGATGATTTTGGAAGCTGAAGCAGAGTGACAGGTCAGCAGAAGACATAGTAAACACAAAAAGCTGTTATTCTTTCCTCTAGAATACCAACTCTCTATTGGGACGGTGAAAAGTCTCCTAAGACCTGTAAGAGGGTGTGGTATCTGGAAAAGATGGCCCCCGTAGGCTTATATGTTTGAATGCCTGATCCCCAGTTAGTGGAACTGTTTAGGAAGAATTGGGAAGTGTGGCTTTGTTGGAGGAGGTGTGTCACTGGGAGTGAGTGGGCTTTGAGGTTTCAAAAGCCTAAGCCAGGCCCAGCCTCTCTCTTGCTCTTTCTGCCTCCTGCTTGCAGATCAGGATGTAAGCTCTCAGCTTCTGCTCCAATGCTCTGCCTGCCTGCCACCATGCTTCCCACCATGCTGATCATGGACTCGCCCTCTGAAACTGTCAGCCAGCCCCCAGTTAAATACTTCTTTATGTCAGTTGCCCTGGTCACAGTGTCTCTTCACAGTACTAGAACAGTGACAAAGACAGAAGTGGTACCAGGGACAGAAGTATTACCATGATGGGCCTGACCATGCTGCTTGGAGGCCTTGGAACTTTGGACTAGAAATGCATTTGAATGCTGAAACTGGAGCTTAGTGGGCCGTTCTAGTAGGAACTTAGAAGACAGTAGTACTGAGAGCAATGTGGATTATGGAGGCCCAGCTCAAGAGGTTTCAGAGGAGAACAATATTAGTGGCTAGGGTGCAGACTATTGTAATATTGTGGAAAGGAATCTGGCTGCTTTGTGCCCTTGTCCTAAAACTCTCCAGGAGGCAAAATGGAAGTACCCTGTCTCTGTATGCAGGTGCAAAAGGTCCCTTTAAGATACAAGCTCCACCCACCCACTCCTGCTCTCTCTTTCCTATGTTCCTCTGAAGAGGCAGGCAGGGTCTCTGTCTCTCTGTCTCTGTCTCTGTCTCTCTCTCTCTTGCCTTGGTCATGGTGTCTCTTCAGAACAATGGAATAGAAATTAAGATTGTTACCAATGGGATTATAACAGTAATCTTGTAGCCTGTGCTGGAGACACAGCTCAGCAGGTAAAGTCACTTGGTAGTGGCCCAAGATTGATCCTCCAGACTCACATGGTGGAAGGAGTGACCAGATTGCCAAAAGCTGACTTCTATACAAGTCATAGTGCACACACACACACACACACACACACACACACACACACACACAAACATATATATTTAAAGAAGAAGAAATTAAAGAAGAAGGCATTGTATTCTTTCCTCCAGAAGTCTCCAGTTACTGTTATTTTAAGAAACCCCTTGATTTGGCTATAAGTTTAGGTAAAATCTAAAATCCCAGGACAGGAGGCTATCTCCTTTAGGTCTGAGAGCACATGCCGTGCAGGAGGATGGGAGCAGGTCCTTCTCTTTCCCAAGGCATCAGCCGCTTTCACACACATTTTAGAGTATGAATTATGACAGTTTGAAAAAGCTAAGAATATTATTTTGATCATAAGGACTGTTCATGTGGAAATAACTATGGAAAGAATGGTATGGCCTTAAAAATCAGTCTGGCTGCTGCTTCTCCTGGGTGGAGAATTAATTTGGCCTGCTAGTGGTGACGAGCTGGCTGGCTCTGCTGGTGTTCTGCATGGCTAAGCATCAGACATAGAAAAAGCAGTGTCAACTTACTGCAAATTAACACTGTTGGTGACACGTGACATTCTTTTCCTCTACACATAGCTGTTCAGTGCTCAAGGAGTATGGAAGATGACAAGACTATTGTTTTTGCCCCGATAGGAAGGCAAAGTTTGGCTTTGGGCTTCATGATTCTTTTTCCCTCCATGTCCCCATCATTCATGTATCTTCTTTAAAGTTCTAGAGTCTTGAAGAGGAAAACCAGATCTGTTCTCTCAGTACTCAGAATGTCTCCTCTCCTTCAATCTGACAACTGAGATTGGGAGGGTGTGTTTGTGTGTTTACAGCAGACCACCTCCACAGAGACAGGAATGCACACTGTCTATCAATCATGCCAGGAACCTATATCACCTAGTGGCAAAAACAACCTTATGCTCT